TGTGTTCATCCAGCCCTGCGCCTTGTTGTCTCGGATTCTCCAGCATCTGCAGTTCCTACTATCTCTGCAATCCAGAGGATCCAGGCATTCTCCAAATCCATTGAGAAAACTGGGAATTTCTCACTAAGAGTTGTTGCTGACCTCTGTAGATGGGATCCTGGCTGATAGGGCAAAGATGATATGGAAATTGTATAAACTCACAAAGTGAAGCTACTACTAAAGTACTGTTAGGGTGGTGCGTGTATGGAATGAGCTGCTAGAGGAAGTGGTGGAAGCTGGTACAGTTACAACATTTAAAAGGCATCTGGATGGGTACGTGAATAGGAAGGGTTTAGAGGGATATGCACCAAATGCTGGTAAATGGGACTAGATTAATTCAGAACACCTGGTAGGCATGGATGAGTTGGACCAAAGGATCTATTTCCATACTGTATGACTCGATGACTCTATGTTAAAGTTATGGATAAAGGATACAAATCCCTTTGTAGAAGAGATCACGTTGCAATGTATTATCATATGAAATACTGAGAGATATCCCACAACCAGTTGTAAGTTTTCTTTTTGCCTGGATCTGGAGATATGGGACAGAGATCAGAACGTTTCTGTTACATCTTGTGAATGTAATGACCAGGATTAGCGTGGCTACAATCAGAAACAGTAAGGATACATGGACTGCCATGTATTGTGGGTTGGAAGATGCCTTGCAATACCAACAGAATTCTTAATGGATAATGGAGGTGAATTTGCAAAAGATGTCTTTCAGGACGTGTGACGTCTTAAGGATTGTGCTTATACATAGAGCTGTTGAAATGTCCATTCAGAAATGGCCTGTGTTAAAGAAACCACGCAATAAGTGATGAGATGTTGCGCAAAATACTGGCAGATCTGAGAGTTACAAACGGCCCTGGCATGGGCAGTACACAGTTGGGAGGAGTAAGTCCAAACAAACTAATACCTTTGAGGATGTAACAAAACACATTGATGAAGATCGAGCAGTGGATGCAGTGTATATGGATTTTAGCAAGGCATTTGATAAGCTTCCCCAAGGTAGGCTCATTCAAAAAGTAAGGAGGCATGGGATTCGGGAAAATTTGGCTGTCTGGATACAAAACTGACTGTCCAATAGAAGACAGAGAGTGGTAGTAGGTGGAAAGTATTCAGCCTGGAGCTCGGTGACCAGTGGTGTTCCGCAGGGATCTGTTCTGGGATCTCTGCTCTTTGTGATCTTTATAAATGACTTGGATGAGGAAGTGGAAGGGTGGGCAAGTTTGCTGATGACACAAAGGTTGATGGAGTTGTGGATAGTGTGAGGGCTGTTGTAGGTTGCAACGGGACATTGACAGGATGCAGAGCTGGACAAAGTAGTGGCAGATGGAATTCAACCCAACAAAGTGATTCATTTTGGAAGGTTGAATTTGAATGCAGAATACAGGGTTAATGGCAGGATTCTTGGCAGTGTGGAGGAACACAGGGATCTTGGGGTCCATGTCCATAGATCCCTCAAAGTTGCTACCCAAGATGATAGAGTTGTAAAGAAGACGTATGCTGTGTTGGCTTTCATTGGCAGGGGAATGGAGTTTAAGAGCCACGAGGTTATGCTACATCTCTATAAAACCCTTGTTAGACCACACTTGGAATATTGTGTTCAGTTCTGGTCACCTCATTATAAGAAAGATGTGGAAGCTTTAGAGAGGGTGCAAAGGAGATTTACCAGGATGCTGCCTGGACTGGAGGGCAGGTCTTATAAGGAAGGTTGAGGGAGCTAGGGCTTTTTTCATTGGAGCGAAGAAGGATGAGAGGTGACTTGATAGAAGTGTACAAGATGATGAGAGGCACAGATAGAGTGGATAGCCAGAGACTTTTTCCCAGGGCAAAAATGACTATTACAAGGGCTATAATTTTAAGGTGATTGGAGGAAGGTATAGGGGAGATGTCAGAGGTAGGTTCTTTACACAGCGTGATGGGTGTGTGGAATGCGCCGCCGGCAGTGGTAGTGGAGTCAGATACAGAAGAGACATTTAACTGACTCTTGGATAGACACATGGAGGATAGTAAAATGTACGGTATCAGGGTAGTTTGATCCTGGTAGGATAATAGGTCGGCACAACATCATGGGCTGAAGGGCTGTACTGTGCTATACTGTTCTATGTTCTTAATATCCAGACAGAACCCAAAATGATCTTCAATACTACATGACGATCCTTCACACCAGAAGGAACATCAGTCAGCTCTGATTCATTTACTCCTATCTGCATGGATTACACGCTGATGGAAAAAGCATTGAGACATTGCATCAGGCTGTTCAAGGAAGAATTCCAATCTGGTCACATGAGGGAGAGGGACACAGGGAATAGCAAGGCCCAATACAGGTGGTTGAATGTGACCGGGGAAAATGTACATATACAACTAAACTGAAACTAGACTATAAAGGCGAATTGCTCAGTACTACTGCAATGTGTTCTGAGTTTTCGGAGTCTGAGAACGTGGCAGAAGGTATTGATGATAAACGACCCCATGTATTGCATACACTCATGAATTTTAGAATTTGGACCCAGAGGGGCAGGACTTAAGAGCTCAGGAGATGCACACTGATACATGTACTGATTGTGAAGACATGAGAAAATCTTCTTTGGAGATATTTCACTTAAAATCTGTTCATGGGTTGATTACTGGCCAGCAGAGTCAGGTGACAAGATGGTGGACACAATAATGTCCGCAGGAAAATATACAAACTGGCTCCATGTCCAAGATAAGGAACAAGAGACGAGGGCTGTAGCATGGCAATAGGGAACATGATAGTGGAGAACTAGAAGATGCAGGCACAGTACTGTTCAGGGGGATACATCTAGCAGTAAGAGATCATGTCCCAATGTGAATCTTTCAGAGAGATCTGAATCTGAGGAAAGAGGCCACAGCTAGACAAGGTAGTCACCTATCATGAGGAATGGTCAATGGATCAAAGCAAAGGTCTCAAGGATCAGGAGGGATAGGTGTGTGTGTGTGTAGGTGTGTGTGTGTGTGTGTGTAGGTGTAGGTGTAGGTGTAGGCCTCTGTGTGTCTCCTGGTAAATGGAAGGTCGGGTGATAAAAGAGACTGAATGAAGAGAACTGGAAAATACTTGGAGGGTATTCACAAGTTGACGATGGAAGTCCACCTACTTTGTCACACAGGTGGATTCCATACAGAACAGATCGTACCACATGGGACCCTTATGGCTAAGGTTAGGTTGGTAGCTAGAGTCTTTGAGCAATGTTTGAGTGAGAGAGAGTAGGCTTGACTCTCCTACAGTAGGGAAGGGAATTATGAAATTCTTTTTAGCCATTTTAACAAACTTTCCTTGGAAGTGTAACTCTATAGATAACAAAGTGGTGTTCCTTCAGGGTAACCTGCTTCAGATGGAAGTATTCTTACAGCCCCTGAAGAACTTCCAGGAATACCGGGAAGCTGTGGAAATTAAATAAATGCCCTTTTGGGTAAAATGACGCATCTGCAGTGTGGTATTTTTCAGTAGGGGGCTGGTGTGTTATCGTTGTGTTATTGTGTAATCACAACTGAACGCATACCCAGTATTGTTGTATCGGCATTATCATGGAAAACTCTCAGGCATCTTTGTGATGCAAGTTGACAGGGACTGGGGCCATTAATGCCTTAGAGGAAAAGATTATTAATTGAATTAGGAAGGAATTCAAATTTGGCAGTCAAGTTTCTGGAGCTTTCAAATATGTGTTGGGAAATTAAGCAAGGTCAGTAATTCTACACCAAAAGTCTTACTTGGAAAATGTTAGCCCTATTGCAATGATTCATACCAGATCTGGACTGAAAGATGAGGCTGCCACTAAACACGGGACAGAACAGTTGTGTCTTCTCCTGGGCCTGGCCAAACTTGCTATAAACAGCAGGCTGTGATTCCCGACTCTTGGCTCCTCCTCTGCATCTACATCTGTGCCTCGGTGCCCTTGGAGATGGAGCACCATTGTATCTACTCGTGTCCTTGGTGCTTTCAGAGAGCGATGGGCACCACAGGGGCTGGAGTGCATTATTTCCCCCTCCAGTGTCCTCCTCAATGTTCCTCCACCATTCCCCATCACTTATTGCTACACTGCCCCTGGAGGGCATGTTCATAATGAGGTGATTGGGTATTTTGTTAAATTGGAGATGGTTATTAAATTTTTTTTAAGAAAAGATTTAGTTTTTAGTTCAGTGATTAGATAACATGATGGAGGGTTTCACTATCTAAAAACATTGAGTTCTTATTGGTTAATTTGGTGTTGGGTTTCTTTCTATTGGGGGGGGTGGGAGCAAAAAGTCCGGACAGAGAGAGGGTCCAGAGGGGCAATGTGGAAACTGATGTTTGTATTAAACTAATGGTTCATAATGAAACCTTTTGGAAATCTCAAAAAGTCTTTTAGAGATAGTAAGAACTGCTGATGCTGGAGTCTGAGATAACACAGTGTGGAGCTGGTCCTGGCCCGAAAAGTCAGCTTTCCTGCTTCTCCGATGCTGCCTGGCCTGCTGTGTTCCTCCAGCTCCACACTGTGTTATCTCAAAAAGTCTTTTGGTGCCTCATTCAACACAAGGACATCAGTGTGTGAAGGAGAGGATTTCAAAGTTTCGCCATCTTCCATTTGAAACTGTTCCTTCTCTTCCCAGTACTAAATGACCTCCCCTTACTCTGAGACTTTCTCCCCCTTGTTGTAGTCTCCCCCACCATTGCCCCCACCCCATCCCTACTTTCCCATGGCCAGGGGCAACGTCATCCCTGCATTTACCCTGTCAAGACTTCTTGCACCAGTTACTCTGCGATGAGATGACAATCTGTGGAGGAGAGCTAGTCGATCAGATTGGAAAATCCAGAGCAAATAAACAACATGATGTCCTCACTCGGTTACACTGAGGCTAACTGCTGAGGGCTAGCAGCCGTACTGGGATCTGCTGGGCCCTCTCACTGTATCCACCAGAAGTTCCCAGCCCTGTTAATTGATTGAGCTCACCTCCTGCTTTTGTCCTGCAGGGATACATGTGGAAGAAAGGCAATGTCCGACGGAACTGGAATGAGCGCTGGTTCGTCCTAAAGGCTTCCAACATCCACTACTATCTCAATGAGGACCTTAAGGAGAAGAAGGGGGAGATTCACCTCAATATGGACAGCACTGTGGAGGTGAAAGCCTTGGGCACTAGATTGACATGTCAGACACTGGGGTACAGTACCAGTGGGGACAGGTCTGTCACTGTATAACACTGGGGTACAGTACCGGTGGGGACAGGTCTGTCTCTGTATAACACTGGGGTACAGTACCGGTGGGGACAGGTCTGTCACTGTATAACACTGGGGTACAGTACCGGTGGGGACAGGTCTGTCTGTGTATAACACTGGGGTACAGTACCGGTGGGGACAGGTCTGTCACTGTGTAACACTCTATAATACACAAAAGCTTTTCCCACTTTGCTGCCAACTGTTTTCTCTCTGCTGTCTGCTCTTTATTAATGTTGCTGTGTCAGGCTCTCCAATCGGTTCCTTACTTGCGGATGTGTTGCTCTCCTGTAGATGCTCCCTGATAAGGAAGGGAAGCGATGCCTATTCTGTGTAAAGACCATAAACCGTACGTACGAGCTGAGTGCGTCGGACCTGAAGCGGAGACAGGAATGGATAGACAGTAAGTGACGGACGGAGCTCACTGGGAGAGCCGTGTCTATGTTGTCTGCCCCGGGGGGAGGTGGGAAGATTGTGACCGTCCGTTTCCGGGACTCGGAGTGGAGTTTTCATGGAGCCCTAGTTTGATTCGTAACAGAATGCGGGTGTCGCTGGCTGGGACATCGAGAATTGCCCATCCCTAGTTGCCCCTCAGAAGATGGGGTGGAGCTGCCAACTTGCGAAGCTGCAATACCTCCTGAATGTTGGCAGAGGGGCACAGTTGTACTCTCCTGCTTCCCGTTGGTCTGTGATTTGTTTGCAGTTGCTGTCATGATGGTTAGATTCTGTGTTGTTGTGTCTGGTACAGGTATCACAGCTGCGATCTGGATCCTGGCAGAGAACAAGAGCTCGGTGCACAAGCTGCAGAAGGAGAGACGGAGAGAGCAGCGACAGCAGGCAGCTGCCAGATTATTGGAGAAGAAGGCACAGGAGGACAGGCTGGCAGAGCTGCAGGTCGAGAGGGAAACACAACTGGCACAGCTTGAGCAGCTCAGGCAGGTCCGAGTGCCACACCCGGCTCTCATCCTGGATCTATGTGTACCACCCCACCCTCACCAACCCCGTACTGTCACTGCAGCAGTGGGAGCATACTGTGTGTGTGAGAGCGAGTGTGAGCACTGTCTGTGTGCAAGCAAGTGTGTGTACTGTGTGCGAGCGAGTGTGTCAGTGCTTTCTGTGTGCGAGCGAGTGTGAGCACTGTCTGTGTGAGTGAGACCAAGTGTGTCAGCACTGTCCGTGCGGGAATGAGTGTGAGCATTCTGTGCATGCTGGACCAAGTATAAGCACTCAGTGTGAGTGTGAGCACCCTATTTCTTTGTCCTTTCATCCATTGGGATGTTGAGGTCAGATCCATGTTGCCTTTCCCCCACCCCCCAAGGTTAGACACAAATCCAGAATGGACTGAGGATCCAAAATGGTGTCTCTGGTCTTTTCTCTGAACTGACTGGATGGTTTCTGTACTGTCCAGGCAGGACGCTCCTCAGTGATAGTAATCCTCCTGCTCTCATCTCCCATCATAGCGCCATGGTTACTAGAGACGAACCTCAAACAGCTCCCATCATTCTCACCACCTCCGTCTCTGAAAATCCTTGTCGCTTTCCTAGGCACAGGAAGAAGCTCAGCACCTCTGGCGAACCAAGGAGCTCCACTGGATGAAACAGCACGAGGAGCTCCAGCAGAAACTACAGATACAGCTGCAAAAGGCCAAGTCGGTAAGAAGTACGGGAGGCCTACAAGCGGGCCTGCACCACAAGACCTGGAACTGGATCCAGTCCCAGGCCCAGGACTGGGCCATGAGGCCTGGAGCTGGAGGTGGGTTCAAGCCTTGGCCTGGGCTGTGAGGCCTAAAGCTGGATCCAACCCCAGGCCCAGGACTGGCCCACAAAGCCTGGAGCTGGATCTAGTCCAGGCACAGCCCTGGGCCATGAGGCCTGGAGCTGGATCCAGTCCCAGGCCCAGGCTGGTTCATGAGGCCTGCAACTGATCCTTGTCTACACACAAAGAACGGAGTTTCCAGGTGACCATTTGGAATCTACCTGTGCTGTCCCCATCCTGGGATTGTTTGAGAATGTATGTGTATGCCTGTACAGAAATCTCCCAGCTCGGGAGGGTCACAGTTACCAGTGTAAACAGCAATGCTAGAATCTGCATTGATGTTCCTCCTAGACAGCTGGGGGAGGGATGGAATATTCCAGAACAAGAAATGTTCCCATTCTGAAAGGGCAGAAACGGTTATGGTATAAGCTAATTTACAGCTATCAAAAAGCAATTTGCACCCCCCCCTCCCCCATCCCAACCTATACCCCGAAAGTGAGAGAGAGCTGGCGGTAAAGAGATAACTATGTCCCAGTGTGTCCCAAGAGGCCTGTACAGCAACTGATGTGTCCTGCAGAAGATGTTATTAAACTGGAAAGGGTTCAGAAAAGTTTTACCAGAATGGCACGGTGGCACAGTGGTTAGCACTGCTGCCTCACAGTGCCAGGGACCCGGTTTCAATTCCACCCTCGGGTGACTGTGTGTGTGGAGTTTGCACATTCTCCCCATGTCTGCATGGGTTTCCTCCAGGTGCTCTGGTTTCCTCCCAGAGTCCAAAGATATGCAGGTTAGGTGGATTGGTCATGCTAAATTGCCCATAGTGTTCAGGGATGTGTAGATTAGGTGGGTTACGGGGGATGGGTTTGGGTGGGTGTTCTGAAGGTCGATGTGGACTTATTGGGCCAAAGGGCCTGTTTCCACACTGTAGGGATTCTATGTTGCCAGGATTGGAGGGTTTGAAGTTTGGGTGAGACTGAATAGGCTGGGGCTTTTATACCTGGAGCATCGGAGGCTGAGGGGTGACCTTATAGAGGTTTATAAAATCATGAGGGGCATGGGTAGGCTGAATAGCCAAGGTCTTTTTCCCAGGGTAGAGTAGTCCAAAACTAGAGGGCATAGGTTTAAGATGAGAGAGGAAAGATTTAACAGGGGCCTGAGGGGCAACTTTTTCACGCAGAGGGTGGTCCGTGTATGGAATGAGCTGCCAGAGGAAGTGGTGAAGGCTGGTACAATTACAACAGTTAAAAGGCATCTGGATGGATATATGAATAGGAAGGGGTTAGAGGGATATGGGCCAAATGCTGGCAAATAGGACTAGGTCAGATTGGGATGGCATGGACGAATTGGGCCAAAGGGTCTATTTCCGTGCTGTATGACTCTACGGGTGCCTGCCTACAGTGCCCAGGTTCTGCTGCTTTAGCCGAGCCATATTGGCAGAGGGCTGTGAGGATGGGGTGTCTCAGCCTGTACCATTGATGTTGACTCCCAGTCAATCAATACGGGCAAGATGCGGAGATGGAGCGGGGGCTCTATGGAATGGGACCCTGCCCACCAGCTCCTGCAGGGAGAGGGTACTGCACGTGGCAGAAAACATTTGTCGTTGAACTGCGAGGTGGTGGGTATAAGCTGCTGTATTTTTGCGTATCTCCCTCTTTCTTTGAAGGACAAGCTCCAGATGCAGTTGGTGATGGAACAGAAGGAGCAGGAGGCCGGTGCCCAGCGCCAACGGATTCAGGAACTGGAGACGATGCAGCGAGGGTTGGAGCGGGCCCTAAGGGCTGAGATCGAGGCCCACAGCAATGAGCAGACAGTGCGATCTGCGCAGGCAAGGTGCAGTACCAGGAGTGAGGGTCAGGGAGCGGTCTCTCCCCAGTCACTAAGAAAGCCGTTAAAATAGTCCTGGCCCAGTGCGGGGGTCCCAGGGGAACCTCTTATGGTAACCCATTGCTGCAGAGTTTGACTCCTGCCATGGTGTCTACTAGAATTTAAATTCGATTCTCACCTTTTCTCATTAGTCTCAGTGACAGTGATCATTAAGATAACATCAGTTGTTGTAAAAATCCATCTGCTTCGCTCCATGAGGGAGTTGAAAGGTCTGGAGAAAAGGCAGGAAAGTGGAGTCGAGGGTTATCACATCAGCCATGATCTCATTGAATGGCAGAGCAGAGTTGATGGGCTGAATGGCCTCCTTCCGCTCCAATGTTAGTGGGTGTGGCGTAAAGGAGAGGTTTAGGAAATGATTGAAATGGCATTATTATGGTTTAACAGGAGATTAGCTGGACGGGGTAGGTGGGAAAGAGATGACTTATGAATGTTTTGATGCCTTCTGTATTGGGTTTGATGGTTGGTGGATGATGGGGAGAAGACAAATCTGCATTGTGACAGTTTGGTAAGTGTTAGACTCCAATGTCCCAGTGTTTAGAGAAAGCTCTTAGCAATGGCAATGGTATGGGAGCTCTGTTTCAGATGAGGATACTTGGTAATAGGGGGTCAGACTCAAGGACTAAGACAGCAAACCTCTCTCCTGGTTTGAACCTTAAAAGTGGAGTCACAGATAGACAGGATGGTGCAGATGATGTTTGGTACGCTTGCCTTTATTGGTCAGTGCATTGAGTATAGGAGTTGGGAGGTCATGTTGCAGCTGTACAGGACATTGGTTAGGCCATTATTGGAATTCTGTTCAGTTCTGGTCTCCGTGCTATTAAAAGGATGTTGTTAAACTTGAAAGGGTTCAGAAAAGATTAATAAAGATGTTGCCAGGATTTGAGGGTTTGAGCTATAGGTGGAGGCTGAATAGCCTGGGGTTATTTTCCCTGGAGTGTCCGAGGCTAAGGGGTAACCTTCTAGAGGTTTATAAAATCATGAGGGGTATGGATAGAGTGAATAGTCAAGGTCTTTTTCCCAGGGTAGGGGAGTCCAAAACTGGAAGGCATAGGCTTAAGGTGAGAGGGGAAAGATTTAAAAGGGTCCTAAGGGGTAACTTTTTCACACAGAGGGTAGTGCGTGTATGGAATGAGCTGCCAGAGGAAGTGGTGGAGGCTGGTACAATTATAACATTTAAAAGGCATCTGAATGGGTACATGAATAGGAAGGGGTTAGAGAGATATGGGCCAAAATGCTGTCAAATGGGACTAGATTGGTTTGTGATTATGATCAATGTGGACAATTTGGATGGAGCGGGTCTGTTTCCGACTCTGACTCTGAGGAGAAATGTCTTCACTCGGAGCATGGTGAGCCTGTGGGATTCTCTGCCACAGAAAGCGGTTGAGGCAAAACAGTGAATGTTTTCAAGAAGGAATTAGATGTAGATCTTCAAGCTAAAGGGATCAAAGGGTACGGAGAGTAAGCAGGAACAGGGCATTGACTTGGATGATCAGCCACGATAATATTGAATGGGGGAAGCAGTATCGAAGGGCCAAAATGGCCTACTCCTATTCCTATATTTCAATATTTCTTTAATTGTCTGGAGAGCATCCTGCCATGGCCTGAGCATGTGAACAGAAAGGCTTGAGGAATACAAGTAGCTCTTTCCTGTTATCTATCTGTACTGTGGGGTGTGAACACAGCCAGGCATGTTTGTCCAGCCTGATTAAACCTGGCATTGAATGGCCCTGTTCCTGCTGGTCTCTTCTTTTTTTCCCCCCCTTAAAGGCTGCTGCAGGAGGAGGAGGAGAAGCTGAAGGAACTGATGATGCTGAGATCTGAGCAGCAGGATCTCGCCCAGCAGGAGGAGAGACAGCAACAGCAACGGCTGACCACCAAGGCCCAGGCTCTGCAGCAGGCCGTGGAGCAACTGAGAGAGAGCAGGCAACGGAACAAGCAAGATCTCGCTGTGAGTGACCCCCGGGGACTGTCAGCGGACCTCGACCACTGCCTGTCCCACCCCGTACTCAATGACACCAAGTGGTCATCGTGCCATAGGGCTGCTCTCTCATCATACAGAGAGAAAGCTGGCGAGGGTTTAACTTGAGGGTCACCACGCCTCAGGTGAGGGGAGAGTTTGAGAAGGAGAGTCCTTCACGGTAACCTCAGCCAGTGGCGGGAATTGAACCCGTAATGTTGCTGGCATCCTGCGTTGCAAACCAGCCGTTTACCCAACTAAGCTAACTGAGCCTATATACCTCTCTTTCCCAATGTAATTTGTGGAGGCTGCCTGGGGTGGAGGGCACTTGGTTAGGGGGCCCAGATTTGGAAGATGGAGCATGACGTGGGCAAATGTGACCTTGGTGGGTAGAATAGAACAACGTATGCTCCAACTGGGCGCCCTCATCCCAAAACATTGATCTACTTGACGGGCCAAATGGCCTGCTTCCACACTTTAGAGATTCTGTGATTGGTATCTGGGGATGTTTTAAGAGGGTGGGTGGAATGTCAACATTTATTGCAAAGGGAGAACCGAGCATAAAAGCAAGAGACTTCTTGTCCGACACCTAGATGTTAAAAAAGTTGCTTTTCTGGTCCACGTTTCTTTTCCAACTCTCATGCCACCAACTTAAACACCAGTGGGGAATTGTTCCCCAGTTGATTTCTCACCTAACCATTCTCAATTAACCCACCTCCATCAGCCGATCTGTCTTGACCTCAGCTGTCCCTGAATGACCCTACCTGTGGTTGTACAGGGGCGTTGGTGAGACTGCACCTAGAGCACAGTGAGTACAGTAGTGTTGGTTTCCTTTATTTAGGAAAGGACAGCATTGTTTGGAAGCAGTTTAGAGGAGGCGGAATCAACAGGCAAGTGACAGGTGAAACGTAACACAGGGAAGTGTGAAGAGATTCATTTTGATCGGAAGAAGCCTGAGAGACAAGAGAAAACGAATTCTAAAGGAATGCAGAAACAGTGAGAGCTTGGGGTTAGTGGGGCGGGGTTTCGGGGGGAGAGGTGGTGGTGGGTGGAATATGTGCATAAGCCATTCAAGGAGGTAGGACAGAGTAAGAGAGTGGTTGATGTAAAGGGTATAGCATCTTGGCTTTACTAATAAGAGTGTAGAGTCCCAGAGAGGGTGGTTATACATAAAACAGTGGTTGAGCTGGAGAAGTGTGTACAGTTGTGGGGGCCACATTTTGGCACGTATTGGAGAGAGTGCAGATAAGTTTCCCAAGGCTGAAACCGTTCAGTTATGTGGATAAATTGGAGAAGTTGGGGCTGTTTTCCATTTAAAAGAGGACACATTGACATTTACAACACAGGAATCCATTCAGCCCATCATTTCTGCACCTATCGACAAAGATCTGACTGCACTGATCCCATTTTCCAGCTCTTGGATCATAGCACTGGAAACAAGGGCAATGCAAGTGAATATTTAAATTCTAAATAATTGTTACAAGGATTTCTGACTCCACCTCCCCTTTCAGGGCGTGAGTTCTGGTCTCCTACCACCCCCCAGGTGAAAAAAGTTCCCCTTCAGCTTTCCTCAAACTCTTCCCTTAAACTTCTGCCCCCTGGTTAGTGACTCTCTCCCAAAGGGGAAAAATAAATTGCCTTCCTATCCACCCTAGAGATAACAAGGTGTACAGCTGGATGAACACAGCAGGCCAAGCAGCATCAGAGGAGCAGGAAGGCCGATGTTTCGGGCCTAGACCCTTCTTCAG